TTGGATGGGAATACACATCAATATTCATCAGAGTTGGGTGTATGTAAGTTGCATTGGTATGTACCTGAAGTAGACCAAGACTTAAGAAAGTTTAAATGGTAACGCACATTAGTAATCACCAGTGTTGGTTATATGTAGATTCAATCGGTCTGTACTTGAGTTAAAGTTGATGAGTACGTCGAGTAAACAAAGCCTGTCGAAATTTTTGATTGTAATACTAGTACACATTAATGTTTTTTATGTTTTTGTTTATGTAATCATTGTTGGTCTGTACCGGATGCTCAGTTGATTTGTTCGTCAAGTAGAAAAAGCATCTCCAAAGTTTTGATGTTAATATACATTAATATTCATTATATTTTGGTGTATGTAGATTGAATTGTTCTGTACTTGAGGTGCAGTAGATGTACTACTCAAGTAGACAAAGCCTGTCCAAAGTTTTGATGATAAAACACATCAATATTCATCGGAAGTGGGAGTATGTAGATTGGATTGGTCTGTACTGTTGGTACAGTTGATGTGTAACTCAAGTAGACAACTCCTTTCGAGAGTTGTAATGATAACACACATTAGTATTCATTAGGGTTGGTTGTAAGTAGATTAAATAGGTCTGTACTTGAGGTAAAGTTGATGTGTACCTCAAGTAGACAAAGCCTGTCGAAAATTTTCATGGTAATACACATCAATATTTATCAGAGTTGGGTGTTTGTAGATTGAATTGGTCTGTACTTGATGTACAGTTGATGTGTACTTCATGTAGACAAAGCATGTCCAAAGTTTTGATGGTAAAATACATTAATATTCATTATATTTGGGTGTGTCTATATTGAATTGTTCTGTACTTGATGTCAATATTTATCAGACTTGGGTGTATGTAAGTTGCATTGGTCTGTACTAGAGGTACATTTGATGTGTACCTCAAGTAGACAAAGCCTGTCGAAAGTTTTGATGGTAATACACATCAATATTCATAAGAGTTGGGTGTATTTAATTGCATTGGTCTGTACATGAGGTGCAGTTGATGTGTACCTCAAGTAGACAAAGCTTGCCGGAAGTTTTGATGGTAATACAAATCAATATTTATCAGAGTTGGGTGTTTGTAAGTTGCATTGGTGTGTACATGACTCTTGAACTCATATAATATAAAAACCATTGTCTGAACCACATTTCCGTTAGACCATCGGACTTTAGTGTGATATCTGATCGCACTTAAACACAAACAACCATCGCACTTTAGCGTGACCATCGAACTTAAGCGTGACCATTGCACTTTAGAGTCCAACATACATATAAGCTATTGCTTATAGCATCTTAGAAATAGACTTAATGTAGTTCAGGGGTATAGAAAAATAAAATGCTCCGCAGGGCGCAGCTTGATACGACCGCAGAGGTCGAACCCTGAACAGTTGGGGCAAGTATGGACACAACATTCAAGCTTGATACAGCTCTGATTGGATTGTGATTAAATATTTGACACAGCATAGGTTTCTGACACAGAATGAATGTGGTCTAAGAACTTAAAAATTTTAAATTGGACATTCACCTATTATGGTCCAATATCCAAAATCTAAATACATGGTTAGATTCAGCATATCAAAGAACCCCAAGAATTCAATTTTTGATGAAATCAAACAAAGTTTAATTTTGGACCCTTTTGACCTCAATGTGGACAAAGTTGATAACGGGGCCCAAAAATCTAAATACATGGTTAGATTCAGCATATCAAAGAACCCCATATATTCAATTTTTGTTGAAATCAAACAAAGTTTAATTTTGGACCCCGATTTGGACCAACTTGAAAACTGGGCCCATAATCAAAAATCTAAATACATGTTTAGATTCAGCATATCAAAGAACACTAAAAATTCAATTTTTGTTAAAATCAAACTAAGTTTAATTTTGGACCCTTTGGACCTTAATGTAGACCAATTTGAAAACGGAACCAAAAATTAAGAATCTAAATACACGGTTAGATTCGGCATATCAAAGAACCCCAATGATTCAATTTTTGATGAAATCAAACAAAGTTAAATTTTGGACCCTTTGGACCTCAATGTGGACCAATTTAAAAACGGGGCCCAAAATCCAAAAACTTAATACACGGTTATATTCAGCATATTAAAGAACCCCAAGAATTCAAGAATAAAACCCCATTGAAATTGATCAAGAAATAAGCAATTTATAATACTGTGCAATTGAATATTTCTTGCTATTGCGCAATACTGTACAATTGACAATTTCTTGCTATTGCGCAATATTGTCCTATTGGATATTTCTTGCTATTGCGCAATACTGTGCAATTGAAGATTTCTTGCTATTGTGCAATACTGTGCAATTGAAAATTTCTTGCTATTGCACAATACTTATTATATAAAAATTTACACATCCTGTTTGGTGTGTATCTCCTACCATATCATTATTATTTGCTTTTAAATATAAATCAGAAATAACCAACTTAAAATGGAAAATTTAAAAAAAAAAAAAAAAAGGAAAAAAAGAAAGAAAACCCCCCAACCCCCCAACCCCAAATTTTTTTTAACCCCCTTATGATTCATCACCCCCAAACTCAATCCCAGCCTTCCCTTTGTGTAATGGTACCTTGCAGTACAATTTCAGAGAGATCCATACACTTGAACACAAGTTATTGTCTTGAAACTAGAAAAATGCTTATTTTTGGCCCCTTTTTGGCCCCCAATTCCTAAACGTTTCAGGCAATTACCCCCGAACTCAATTCCAGCTTTCCCTTTGTGATATGAAACCTTGTAGTACAATTTCAGAAATATCCAAACACTTACACACAAGTTATTGTCATGAAACTAGAAAAATGCTTGTTTTTTGCCCCTTTTTTGGCCCCTAATTCCTAAAATTTTGAGGCAATTACCCCCAAAATCAATTACAGCCTTCCCTTTGTGATATGGAACCTTGTGGTACAATGTCAGAGAGATCCATACACTTACACACAAGTTATTGTCTGAAAGTTACAAAAATGCTTATTTTTGGCCCCTTTTTGGCCCCTAATTCCTTAACTGTTGGTACCATTGGAGATCCATTCACTTAAACTAAAGTTAGAGTGCGAAAACCAATGTGTCTTCGGACGACGCCGGACGACGCCAGACGACGACGACGACGACGACGACGACGACGCCAACGTCATACCAATATACGACCAAAAAAATTTTAATTTTTGCGGTCGTATAAAAATGACAGAATTTTCTTATACTTTGTGAACTTAAATTTTGTAGCATGGTAATTGAAAAAATCCAAAAAAAATTGGGGGTCACCAGCCATCTAAGAGATTTTTTGACCTCTGAAAATGAGTGCAAATAGGCTATATGGATATATAGGGAAAATGGACATAAAGCCTCTTTGATTGAATTTTCACAGCAAACAAAAAGACAGACGTTGCTCATTTTTTTCATACTGAAAAGTTTGATGTCTCTATTTTATGAAATTGGAATAAAATTTGGGGGTCACCGGCCATCCAAGAGATTTTGTTACCTCTACAAATGAGTGCAAAAAAGGCTAAATATAGGAAAAATGGACATAAAACCTCTTTGATTGAATTTTCACAGCAAACAAAATGACAGAAGTTGCTCATTTTTTCATACGGAAAAGCTTGATGTCTCTATTTTATGAAATTGGAATAAAATTTGGGGGTCACCGGCCATCCAAGAGATATTTTGACCTGTGAAAATGAGTGCAAAAAGGCTAGATATATGGAAAATGGACATAAAACCTCTTTGATTGAATTTTCACAGCAAACAAAAATGACAGAAGTTGCTCATTTTTTCATACTATAAAGCGTGATGTCTCTATTTTACGAAATTGGAAAATATTTGGTGGTCACCGGCCATCCAAGAGATTTTTTGGCCTCGGTAAATGAGTGCAAAAAGGCTAAATATAGGGAAAATGGACATAAAACCTCTTTCATTAATTTTCACAGCAAACAAAATGACATAAGTTGCTCATTTTTTAATACTGAAAAGCTTGAAGTCTCTTTTTTATAAAATTGGAATTAAATTTTGGGGTCACCGGCCATTCAAGAGATTTTTTGACCTCTGAAAATGGGTACAAATAGGCTAATTTCTGAATGGATATAGGGGAAATTGGAAAAAACCTCTCTTTTTGAATATTCACAGGAAAAAAATGACAGAAGTTGCTAATTTTTATGCCCCATCGTAGCTGAGGGGGCATTGAATTTTACCCTTGTCCGTATGTAAGTCTGTTCGTCCGTATGAACGTCCCAGATTTGATTTCCGTTCTCCAGCTTTTATTTGCCTCAACCAAATGTTATGAAACTTTATCAAAATGATTTTACCACACAACACACACCAAGTTTTAATTTTGTTGGTGTCACTTTAACCGTTCTAGAGTTATGCCCCTTTACAAATTGAAAAATTGCTGAATTTTTCCTTTCCTTTCTCTAACTTTAGTTTGCTTTTACCAAATGTTATGATTGATATCTTGCAGTTTCCTTCGCATTTTCTTATCAAACTTTGAAGTATTATTAAGTATCATTTGCAGATTAGATTTCGGTGTAAATAGGCTGTGTTTGCTTTATATATAAGACTCATTTCTAGAGGAGCACCAACATAAAATATTATGTAAAGGAAACATGGCATTTTCTGTTTATTTTCTTATTATGATATGAGTTCGAATGTCCCATTAGTATGGTTAATCTTTCTTTTATCACACATTAAAGATTCATATAAATGTGAGCAATTGTTCTTGTTTTCTTTTCATTTCTTTTTAATATTAAAAAAATACATTCCGAATAAATTTGACAAAAAATAGACTTACCATCACTACCACACATAATCAGCACAGTAAGTGCCCCCCTTTTTCCACTCCATTTGATTATCCAGTATTATGTGGTGATTATAATTATAATTGTTTTTCTTTTTGTGTGTTACCGAGTTGATTTAGGGAATTAACATGACTAAGCATATTTCTTGATAGAAGTGAAACAACAACATGTGATCTAATACATTTATTTTATTTTCAATGGATATCTGTTCTTACGTTTGTTTGTACATATATAATTAAATAAAGATGCCAAATAAATAACATGTTTTTCTCAGTTAGAAATACTGTTTGTAGTAGCTAGGTTAAATAATTTCACTGAATAAAATTTGCAAAAGCCTTGCTAATAATATAAATTTTTAAAAACATTAAGACATTTTGCTTTGGACTTCAACATGACAAATTCTAGATTTAACCCTAATTTGGTTTATTATACAATTATTTGCAAAATGTAGATCATAATGAATATGTGTAAAATTTCATTAACTATGTTCAGCACAAACATTGACCTAACCAATAAGTGAATACATGTATCATCATGTAAACATCAAATAGTCATGATTGAAGTCATCAAAATAGTGTTTGTTTGAATATATTTGCCGTAACTTGTATAAGTCTTTCTGATATCATTTTATCCCATATTCAATCTTTTAAAGATGGAGATCTCCTTCTTTCCCATCCACAGAGGTAGGAGTATAATTATGCCAGACATCTCATTCAAAATTTTACTTTTTGAATATACAGTATTTTGATACTTCTGTACAAACAGATGAAAGTATGTTATCTATAAATAGATTTTTTAAAGTTCCAACAGCAATAACATTTCTAAATAACATTGGATGTCTTTTTACTAATATAAACACCTGAGAGACTACAATTGTTCCTACTGCTTTTTTATAATTGTTAAGCTATTTTCCAAAAATTTCTATATACTTGTTCTAATTGCCTGTACAAGCAATAAAAAAAATCCACCAAAATATATATAAAAAAACACAGAAAAGACTAAGATTTATAGAACTGTTAACTCAACATATTTTGAAACTCTTATCTCAAGTTGAACTTTTTTTCAAGAAACTGTACAGTCAAAATTTATCATACTATGTTCATACAGTCTATCTTTATGATCAAAATTTGGGTTATAGCTGGATAGATTACTTCACTGGATTATGTATGCATTAAAAACTCAAATGCATCTCCTCCAGTAAGAAATGGTTTTCCAATCAACAATAAATTATTACACAAACTTAAAAAAATTGATATCTAAAAAAATTCAAGGTTCATATAAAGTTGTATAACTATCAAAACTATTTGGTTTATATCATGAAGATATGTCTACAATACATTTACAAATATTACAGCAGGGCTCACACTACCATTTACACTAATTTACAGTACACATTAATGTTTATCTCTGATCATGAATTTCAACAAAAGGTTAGTTAAGGTAAAGTTCTGCATAACAACGATCAATTTTCTAATTCTTATCATACAGGAGGAATAATATTTTACGTTAAAACTTCATGACCTCCCATGTAACTGTATCATATGCTCTTAAAGTATTACCACTGACTGACTACCTTAACAAACATATTTTTCCTTTACTTGTGACTAATTAGATACTCATATACTCTTTGTATAATTATTTTGTTTGATGTCACTCTAACTACCCCAGTTGAAGACTTTTCTGTCATTAAGGCTTTGAGTCCTGCCATGTCATTTCGTTGTACTGCTAATTGGAAATGTTGAAACCTTAGGTTATACCTTTTGGTCTTTAGTGCCATAGCTTTTGACAGACATTTTGATTGAACTAGCTCTTCAAAAGTTTTCAAGTTGGCCAATTGCATCTGGTATAACTGAGGGTAGCTAGGTGAAAAAGCAAGTTCACTAATAAATTGAGAAACATTACCTTTCTCAGTGACTAAATTAAAAAGTAATTTTGTGTCATACACAGCATTATGAGATTCATACTGTTGACTAATAGTTTATCAACGAGAAAAGACTGGCTATAAGATGACAAGCCAGGTGAAACGAGTTTAAACAAATTCAAAGAGTCTAAAAATGCAACAGTTCTTGCACATAGTTCACTGTACATATTCATAGATTTTAAGGTATGAAATAAAACATGGCAGTCAAATCGTTTTATATTATGTCCTACCAATACAGGTTTATCTGTGAAACTTGACAAATACAAATAAGTTAAAAATCAGTCATTCTTTCATGTTTATGCTTATAAACAACAGCATTACCATTGTAATACATTTTTTGTCCTACAATAGTGATTTTTGTTATTTCTGATGCTTCTCTTGAAATTTGTTGGTCTGGAAATATATATCGACTGAAGGAACTGTCTTTGGTGCATGCAGCTATCTGGGTTATATCAGAATATATACCTGAAGTTAAACATTTTGTTTATTATTGTGCATCTAAACTGTAAAAGGTATTTCGAAAAAGCAATTAATTGTCAAAAAATTATAAACAGGACTAAGTCTTCTATCCCCCTCATTTGAACTTTCGTTGATGGTCTTATTGGCAATTATACCACATCTCCTTATTTCATATCTCTCTTCATTGAAATAACTAAAAAAAAAAAAGTTTTGCTCCACTGGTCTGTAAATATTTTTCTAAAATTATCATCTTTGTATTTTATCTCACTTCCAAAATAAGGTAGATGCAAAGTGTAAATTGCTAAAAAAAATGAAAGAGTTATTGCCCCTTAAATGTATTGTTTCAGCAATTTTCAGTTTTTGGTTTTATTTCAACTAAAAGAAAAAAAGAACATTAGAATAATCATCAAAAGCATTCATGATCCTCTTAATATACTTTATTCATAAGGCAGCCAAAATGCATTGACTTTAAAATTTGGCTTTACACAGTATATACAGACATTGATAATGTGTTTCTGTAGATATTGTTATATCTTTGATGTCATGAAAAAATCCAGTTCTTTCAATTTTAACATTATCCACTGAAATATTTTTTTATAATTGAGGTAACTCATTTCTGAAGTATAATTATGTATAACTTACTTAAACCATTTGTCTTTAAATCAAAACAAACTATTGGTGCATCATCTATGTTGTAAAGGTTTCAGCTTCAGGAACTGCAGGTATTTCTTCTATGTCTATTGTTGCAAAATCTTCTAACCCTAATTAAAATAATATATACCAAGTCTTTGAAAGAAAATAATTTCAACTTTATAAAATATCAAAATCTACTAAAATTCATTAATATTTTGTGACTAAATTGTCCCAAAAATTACAATACTTCAGAAGTCTGGTAAATTTCATGATTACATCTTCATGTTAATTATATAACTTTAATGTCTGGCTGAAATCTCACGCATTTTCACAGTTGGTGATTAATTGCACAGTCACTTTATAATTTGAAAACTTTTTTGACCTGGGGACATAAAAATATATACATGAATATTACATATGCATGGACCTGATGGTGTTGCATTCTTCTATTTGGATATAATGATCAAATGTATCAAAGGTTATTTTATATATCCTAAGCCTTGTTTCTATTTTAAAGTATATATTGATGCTATGTTTCTATTATAATAATAATTATGTATATTGACCTCTTCAAAAGTAAAAAGCACATCATACTTTCTGTCAATATAAGAATTATTACCGATTGAACTGTGGTATGTTCTCCCTTCTTTGACTTCAGCCACTGTTGTTTTTTGTAGGCGTTTCTTTTTGAGAACTTTATGTTGTTTTTTTCCCTGTTTGCTTTTTAATCTGTTTTTGTTGCCCTCTCTCTTCTTGTTTAATTTATTACCCCTGCTTAGGGTCTCATTTCCAGGTGACAGGCCTATAGATGTGTTTAACTGAAAAATCAATTCATTTAAAATCATGCAAGTCTTTATCATCTTTATAATAATTCCTTAAAAAAATCATATTTTGTATGCTTTTGTAATGAAAGTTGAAGGCATTTTGTAGTATGAATATTACATTTTGAGCAGCAATAATCAATCATTGAATAGAATTCGGCAAAATTGAGATTAATCTTGACCTGATGTAGAATAATCAGAATATTTACCCAGGAATCTTTAACAGTTGATATCATAATGTATTGGTTTTTTTGCTCATTTTTAAAGGCTGTAAAAGTAAGGGCTTTTCCAGAATTAATTTATGGGAAGGAGGACAGCACTTTTATTAAAATTTGATGGGTGGTGGTTATCTAAGAAAGATTGCCTGAACATTTATATGAAATATCCAATTTAAAATGTATGCATGGTTGGGTCAAATAAAAAGTGCCTTCCTACCCCCCCTCATTTGCAATCATACCGTATTTTCTTATTTTTATATTTTTTTAGTTTATTTTTTTTAATAGAGAAGTATATATATATATATATATATATGAAGTGAGATTGCATTTATTACATGTTCATTGTGATTATTAAAGCCTTAATGTAAGTTGCTAATTTCTGTTCATTTGTCTTAATTGCAATTAAGTATAGGATGTTTATCAAATAATACCTCAGCAACATAATTATAACCCTCATTTTTTTGGAGTACGGCTGAGCTGACTCTGTAATTTAAAGATGCTGATGTGGAGAAATGTTTGGTTTTTAGAGCTTTGAGAGCAATTAAGTTATTAAAGCTTTCATTTGCCTGTGATGAGCCCAAGTTAGATAGCTTTTTTGAATAAACAGTTTCTCAAGATCTGATCAGTGTTCAGACGAACATAGGTCTTTTCCACGAGGAAGATTTGAATGGATATAGGAATCCTTGTCTTTAAGGTATCCACACCAAGTTTCATTGCAGTTATCATGTTCGCCAAATATGTGTTTTATTGATGCATGTAGGCCGTCCTCAATACCACTTGGATTACCTACATTCTGGTTGACAACGTATGTAAAGTTTTTAACAATTGCGTCACAAACCATTCCAGTTAACTCTTTGTGTTTTGGCTTTAGTTCATTTATCTGTGAAATAATGTTATGTTTGATATGATTTCTATCACTTATTTTTTCCATTTTTGAATTGGGCATTATTAATCGCTTGGCTCAGTCAAAACCTGTGGAATCATCATCTCCTACTACTTCTAATATATCCACTCCTTTTTCATCTAATTCCTTTAACATTTCGACTTCCATATCTGGTTCCATACCCTGAATCAGTTTTTAAAATAATGTGTATTCAGTAAACATTTAGATGATACCACAACCCCATATTTGATTATCAAAAGCCTTAAACTTTGCATTGACAAAATTTTTTGTAAAAATTCCTCAAAAATGAAAGCGTACAAGGTTTGATTAATTCAACAGTTGTATCTAACAATTCTAATAATCTGTCAATTATTTGAAATTGAAATGTTTTGCAAACACTAAAGAATGAATGGTCCTCACATTCACTTTCATCAACTAAACATTGAATATGCCAATTCAAAATTACAACTTATTTTCAAAGTAAATATTGAGGTGTTGTTTGTTTTCACAATGCAATGATGACGGGACGTATCATGAGATATCGTTGTCTGTCTGTTCTTCTGTTGTCAACATGTAGGACATTAACTCAAAAACGCTTTAACTAATTTGCATAAAACTTTGATGAATTGTTATATATATTGATGTGAGATCCCTTTGGTTTTTTATAAATTTTAGATTTTACATTTCCGAGTTATGGGGTTTTATTCATTAAAAAAGGGGTGATTTTCCAGTTTTGGACAATGACTCAAAAATGCTTTCAGCAATTCTCATGAAACTTTAGTGAATTGTTTATATCTATTGATGTAAGCTCCCTTTTGATTTTTATACATTAGAAATATGACATTGAGAAGTAATTGAACTTTTTCTTTGAAAAAGTGATGGGCGTATCATGTGCTCATGGCGCAGCTGTTTATTACCATTGTTATTGCTTTCATATGGTAAATACCTTTGCCGAACCACTCCAATTCTTTCTACACTTATGTTGTCGTGGTAAGACACCTCTGCCCTTTGCCCTTTCACAAATTCTACAGCTTGATATGCGAACCTTATGGTTTACAACTTTGCCTGTGGTTTTTCCAATCAGTGTTGAAACTTCTTCAAAATGCAACATATTGAAGTTTTATATCTAAATCACAATGTTCAAGCCAAGATTTGAAAAGAACAGGTTTATATTGAGCATATCAAAGAACCCCATATACTAAAATGTTGTTGCTCATGAAATGTACAAAACCGAAGAGTTATTGGTATTTTTTTGTTTTTTTCATTTAACAAATTGCAAATTTGTGGCTTTGTGACCATTTTGAAAAAATAATGTGAAAGTTTGGTTTAGTTTATATCTGTATATTATATTTGTTCAGCATCTACCAGTACCTTGTTTAAAGAAACTTTAAACCACAAAAAGAAGAATATCTGCTGTATTATTTTTATTAGATTTGAGATTTTTTACCTTGACTTGTTGAAAAATTTAATAAATGGTCAACTAATGAATGACGAAATCTAGAATGTAGCTTGATAAAAGATAGGAAAACACCTTAAGAGTTATTTGTTATACTCTAAAGAAGGCTTAAATATCAACAATCAATACATTCTATAGAATAGAAGCAGTAAAGTTATAATTTTTGTATCAATTTTAATTGATATTTCTGCCTTTTTTTGCAGAGTTATCTCCCGTTTTCAATGCAAATATCCATAGGAATTTTAAATCATGATTTTTTAGTCTTCCTCAAGTAAGAATATATAAAACTTTTTGCTGTGTATATTTGGGGTATAATGCCTGGACTAATGGGTATGACTATGCGGTATGGGCTTTGCTCATTGTTGAAGGCCTTACGGTGACCTATAGTTGTTAATTTCTGTGTCATTTTGGTCTCTTGTGGAGAGTTGTCTCATTGGCAATCATACCACATCTTTTTTTTTATAATGGGGTATATTCCAAAAAGAAAGTAACTAATATTTAACAAGCAAAATGCATTTCTATAGATCCACCCCACCAGGTGATCACACTGAATGGACATGAAATAAGCACTGTCATTTTTACCTGATAAGCTGTAGTACGATCGGCCAGATCCTTTTTTCTGCCAGCATGTATCAGTACTTATGCATATTCCACTTCTACTGTCTGTTTGATCTTCTAATTTAATAGGAAAAAAATGCACATATAATATATATATATATATAGAAATAAGCAGTAATTATAGACCACTTCTGTAATCCACTTTGGTCTTGACTGTCCTTAACTAGTGTGATTAATTAATATCAATCTTGGTATAGTCTGTATAATTGATTCGAAAAATGCTCGTCCAGTCTAGACTCTGTCTCGACCTGTGTCTACAATCTTGATCTTCAAATTTAGTCTAGACTGGTCTGAATGAGCCTATCTAACTATATAATGAATTTTATATTAATTTTACAAAATTTCAGGTTATTTGGTAGTTTGTTCATTGCTGTCAAATTAAAGGCTTTGATTAATAGGTAGAAAAAAATAGAATTTTCAGTTCTGAATAAATTAATATAGTGACCTTTAATTATAACTTTAAATTTTTCCAATTAACTTAGATTTTCATAAAACTTTGCAGCTATCTCAATTATATATTGATCTTACAGAATGCCATATTGTTTGGTAGCTTGGTGTATTGCTGTCAAATTAAAGGATTTCATTAATAGGTAAAAACAGCAAGAATTTTCAGTTTGGACTAAATTCTGATAGTCACATTTAAATTTTTATAAAACTTTTCTAAATCAACTTGGATTTTCATTAAACTATATAGCTATCTGAATTATATGATGATGTTATAGAATGCAAGGTTGTTTGGTAGTTTAGAGTGTAGCTATCAAATTTAAGGACTTAATTAATTGGTTAAAAAAAGCTAGAATTTTCAGTTTGGACTAAATTCTGATAGTCACCTTTAAATATTTTCATAACTTTTTCAAGTTATAATTCTGATTTTTCATCAACATCTTTAGCTATCTCAATTAAATATTGATCTTGCAAAATACCAGGTTATTTGGTAGTTTTCGCAACTTTTGTTTATTGCTGTCAAATTTTAAAATTTAATTTATAGGTATCTTTATGCATTTAGACCAAACTGAAAATTGTGACTTTTTTTTACCTATTAATTAAATCCTTAAATTTTATGGCAATCAACAAAATAGCCACATTACCTGCATTTTGTAAGATCAATATATAATTAAGATAGCTGTATAGTTTTATGAAAATCCAAGTTGATTTAGAAAAGTTAGAAAGAAAATTAAAGGTGACTATCTGATTTAAGTACAAACTGAAAATTCTTGCTTTTTTTTTTTGGTTGAGATTGTAGAGACTGAGTCCAGACTGGTTGAGCATTTGTCGAGACCATATTCAGACTATACCAATATTATCAAGTACTCATCAGGCTTATAAAGTAAAGTATAAGTAAATGTATATAAATACAAAATAGCCATAATTGTTATCAAACCTGTTGTGGAATTCAATATTTCCCTTTGCAAGTGTCTTTGTTGTGACATGATGGCCTGATTATCAAGAACACTGCCGGCTTCATTTTCTCTAATTTTCAAGGTCTTTGCATCTATGCAATGGACATTAAGTGATGACAAAAAGTTTTTGAGCTGAGTCTCGCCAATACCAGTATGTATCATTTCTGTATTGTTTATTAAAAGATGTTTAATAAAAATGAATTGTGAATACATCAAAAAAATTGGTTCAATGTGTATTTTTTAACATGTTTAATGAATGAAGTGTTTTTCACAAGGCCTTTCATCATCACTACAAATTCTGTAATTGAGGCTATCAGAATTGTTTTTTAATGTAATATGTATATGTGAAGCCTAGGTGGTCGAGTGGTCTAACGTGTTGGATATAGTGCAATACGATTTTGTGCCACAATATCTCAGTAGTATGAGTTTGAATCCCGGCGAGGGAAGAACAAAATAAATTTGCGAAAGCAAATTTACAGATCTAACATTGTTCGGCTGATGTTTAGATGAATTATATATTTATATACCAGTAGACAGATGGTGTTATAAATGTGTTTGATGCTATAATTTATATATTAAATCCAAGATATAATTAATGATTTTGTACATGATGTGCTTTTTTTTTTCATTTTTCTCAATCAAGTAATTCTTTCTGTCAGTATTGTTCTTTTGTATTACTTTAATTGTTATTTTCTTATTATGTTGCCCCTTCAAAAGCGCCTTGTTTCTTCAATTTGAAATAAAGTATAATTTATATGTTATTCTTCTATACATGTACAGATGTACAGGGTTATGTTTTTCTTATATATTTTATGATAGATATAGGAAGATGTGGTATGAGTGCCAATGAGACAACTCTCCATCCAAGTAACAATTTAAATAAACTGCTTCGCTGAGCGCAGCTGGATACGCTCGCAGAGGTCCAACCCTGAACAGTTGGGGCAAAAATGGACACAATATTCAAGCTTGATACAGGTCTGAATTTGGATTGTAATTAAATATTTGATATATTATAGGTTTCTGAATAAATGTAGTCAGAGAACTTGAAATTGGTTATATGAAAGATTTCTTGCTGTTGTGCAATACACTGTGCTGTTGCGCATTACTTAGTAAATCTGTAGTCAGACTATAAACAAATAAAATCTTATAACTCGGAAATGTAAAATCGAAAATTTATAAAAATCAAAAGGGAGCTTACAATATAGATATAAACAATTTACCAAAGTGTCATAAAAAATGCTGAAAGCATTTTTGAATTATTTTCTGAAAACTGAAAAATCCCCCTTTTCGTAATGAATAAAACCCCATAAATCAGAAACGTATGGTCTGAAATTTATAAAAAGCAAAAGGGAGCTCATGTCGATAGAAATAAACAATTCACCAAAGTTTCTTGCAAATTGGTAAAATTGTTTTTGAGTAATTGTCTGAAAACTGGAAAATCCCCCCTTTTTTAATGAATAAAACCCCAAAACTCGGAAACGGTAAATCAAAAATTTATAAAAAACTAAAGGGAGCTCACGTCAATAGATATGAACAATTCACAAAAAGTTTCATGCAAATTGGTGAAATATTTTTTGAGTTATTGTCCGAAAACTGGAAAATCCCCCCTTTTGTAATGAATAAAACCCCAAAACTCGGAAATGGTAAATCTGAAATTTATAAAAAACGAAAGGGAGCTCACGTCAATAGATATAAACAATTCGCCAAAGTTTCATGCAAATTGGTAAAAGCGTTTTTGAATAAATGTCCGACATGTTGACGACGGACGAACGGACAGACGGACTGACAGACTGTCAACTGTATACCATAATACGTACCGTAAACGGGCGTATAAAAAGTAAACCATTATAGGTCAAGGTACGGCCTTCAACACGGAGCCTTGGCTCACACAGAACAGCAAGCTATAAAGGACCCCAAAAATTACTAGTGTTAAACCATTCAAACGGGAAAATCAAAGGTCTAATCTATATAAAAACGAGAAACGAGAAACACGTATGAACTACATAAACAGACGACAAATAGTATGATACTAAACCCCTAACGGGAGGGATAGTGTTGATATTCATATGATGAAACATAATCTTTCAATCAGTTAAATTGAGGTCTGGGGCTGGCATGTCAGTAACAGCTGGTAGTCATTTGTTAATTTATGTATAATTGTCATTTTGTTTAGTTTCTTTTGTTACCTATTTTGACATCGGACTCAGACTTCATTTAAACTGAGTTTTAATGTGCATATAGCCATGCTGTGTGTTTGTTTTTTCTACATTGGCTTGAGATCTCACAAAACATGTTTAACCCTGCCGCATTTTTGTGCCTGTCCCAAATCAGGAGCCTTTAGCCTTTGTTAGTCTTTTATGATTTTTAATTATAGTTCATATTTATATATTTCGGTCTTTCAGAGTTTACATGTACATGATGTAGCTATATTTATATAGTATGACGTCCTCATACAATGAACTAGTACACATTTTTGTTACGAGACTAGCTGAAGCATGCCTCAGGGTGCAGGATTTTCTCATTGTTGAAGACCCATTGGTGGCTGTTTTCTGCTCTTTGGTCAGGTTGTTGTCTCCTTGACACATTCCCCATTTCCAGTCTCAATTTTACAACAAAGAAAATGTTATGCTATTTTATAAATAACAGATTTATGATGAGATGAACATAAAAGAAAGTCAACAGACACTACTATTTTTCCAGAGGACTAATAAAAATGTCAGGTGACATATGTGCGGTTGGGAAGGTTAGAAACTCTACATGAAAGAAACCTGTTGCAGCTTTCGTATTGACATCAAAAATTCCAACACCATTCATTTCTCTCCCAAAGTGGACCTTGCCTAGTTTAATTCTGTTTAAGGTTTGACATGACCAGTGTTTACAAATAATGTTCACTATGCCGGTCAGACCATAGTACCGGACTCCCTTTGCATCATGCAAATGTAAAGGTAAACTACATTCTCTGCAACCTTTTAGCTGGTTAGCCAATATGTCCAGTTCGGTCACTAGTCTACAGTGACTTAACGGTACAAGATCAGGTGGTATATATGTTAAGTCATCATCCGTTAATGTGCTTGCTGTAATGTTCTCTGTTGGTGCTATGGGCTTACAAAATGTAGCATAGGAATGATCTGATACTCGGTTGTTGTTTTTATGTTTTTGCAGAACTCTATCTAGAATTAATTTTGTTATTTTTTTGACAGATTTTGTTTGTGAGAATTGCCCCTTGTGGTTTCTGATCGACGGCATAATTTCTTTAGAGCAGACTATTATTTATTGCGATTGTCGCATTGCGAAATTAACATCTTACCTCCATGGCCATTTTTTTCAAAGGGTGCTCCGTCACTTTCAAGTCCAGTTTCAGTGATGTTAATTTGTGAGCCGCTTAATAATACACCAAAATGATTCTCAATATGTATTATTCCTGAGAATCAAGTCAGTCATCTTAATAAGCGGTTCACTTGTTTCATATCTTCTCTTTTTTCTTGAGATTTTTTTCGACTACTCACCATTCACTTTTTCCGGAAGTAAACATGCTACATTTCGTCATATAATAAGATAAATTAAACATATTCGTTTCACTGAATGATTGCAAAAAATATTATTCAAAGTAAGTTATCCGCTGAAAAAAAATTGTTTACGAATGTTTTTTGTATTTATCAGGTTATCGTAAAAATATTTGTTTACGACAAGAGAATGCGTAACTTTCTGCGCAGAAGGCGCGAAAATTTAAACCCCCGAACTACCTTAACCAGGAAAACATAGCGAGGATAGGTTCAAATGAAACATTCCAGACAATGTACACCTGATAATAATTCAATGCACCAAAAATAGTGCCTTGTTGCTTTTAATATCCAAGAGAGACACTTACCCAAGAAAACTAAGTATTGACCAATGCACAATGAAAATGAGGTCAAGGTCAAATGAAACCTGCCAGACAGACATGTTAATCTTACAATTATTCCATACAACTAATAGAGTTGACCTAGTGTGTACAGCATTTGAAAAACAGACCAAAACAAAAACAATTAACATTGACCACTGAATCATGAGGTCAAGGTCAGAGGAAACCTGCCAGACTAACATATACACCTTTCAATCATTCCATAAAATGCATATAGTTGACCTACAGCTTATGGTATCTGTATCTGAGAAACAGACTTAATAACATAACTTTAACATTAATCACTGAATCATGAAAAGAGGTAGAGGTCAGGTAAACTGTCTGTCAGAACCCATATACCAAATATATAGAGAATTAAACTAGAAGCAAAAGAGCCTGTGTCACTAACCTTGGTCTATGTGCATATCCAAAATTGTACAGGAAGTTCAGAGATTAAAGCTAAAAGCACAAAAAAAATGGTGAAAATCGTCATAAAGAGCAATAATTCGAATAAGGAGTTTTGGACAATTTCCTCCATTCCATATTTAATTGTAGATCTTGTCTTCCTGATAATTGTTTTCTAATTTAAGTTTCTATCTATCTATCATAATTTATAGGATATAAGACAAAAATATATACTAAATATATAGAGAATTAAACTAGAGGCTCCAAAGAGCCTGTGTCACTAACCTTGGTCTATGTGCATATCCAAAATTGTACAGGAAAATAGACTTCATGAAAAACAATCTGTTTTGTTATCTTGTATAGCTGATCATTAAGTCTGTTCACTTTCTCTCTATCTTGTTAAGTTTTTACTCAAAACACAAAAGACGGTTAAAAAAAAAATCCTTATTTAAGGGCAATCACTCCTTAAAAGAGTGACAGCCTACTAACTATATCAGCAAAATTTGACTTGTTAGTATATCTTGACTTGTTGATCACATTTTTGTGATTTAAAGTGTCTATTTATCTATTATAAGTTCGGAGATAAAAGCCAAAAGCACAAAAAAAATGGTGAAAATTGTCATAAAGAGCAATAATTCGAATAAGGAGTTTTGGACAATTTCCTCCATTCCTGATTTAATTGAAGATCTTGTCTTCCTGATCATTTTTGCTAATTTAAGTTTCTATCTATCTATCATAACTTATAGGATATAAGACAAAAACACAAAAAATTGGTAAAAATCATCATCAAAGGCAACAACTCTAAGAAGGAATTGATTTGAACGTTTCAATCATTAGACTTATTATAGAACTTGTCTTGTTGATCATTTTTGCATTCTAAAGTCTATCTTTATCTATTTTAGATTACAAGATAATAGGCAAAAATGAAAAAAATGGTAAAATTAGTCTGACAGTTTTGACATATCAGGACAATTGGTAAAGCTCAATG